ACACATTCGAATATATTTACATTGTAAATGGCAACAAAATTGAACTAAATTAAAATACAGTCGAGAAATTGTTGAGTAATCAAACATTTTGTTATTGCATTTTATTTAGTAATAAGAGAGAATTGAGAATGACGTTCTATTTTTCCCATTAAACAAAATCAGAAAATTTTACTAAGTAAAATGTTTAATTTTTTTTTTAGTTAAGTTAGATATTTACAATTTTACCTTACCTTGAAATTCAAAGATATTAAAAAATAATATTCAACAGGCTTCATCTGTTAAGCTCAAATAACAATTAAAAAAAAATGTCTTAGAATTATACGATTCTCTATTATATTTGAATAGTATATATGTAAGTAATTTTCTTTACAACACACAATATTCATTGCAAAAATATTAGAAAGCAATTATGAAAAATTGAGTAGCTAATACTTAAAGAAATGCATTACATCGAATTTGTTTGAAAAAAAGAAGCCTGTATCAGCTGAATGCCTTATACAAGCCGTTTTCTATTTTGTTCTAAGTTTAATTGAAATCAATTATAGTTCTTCTTTTAAACTGATTAGTACCATTCAATATTATTGTCATAAAACGCCCTAAATACCTTATACGCCTTTCTTTCTTCATAACTGTATTATTCTTTGACTCTACTGTTTATTAAAACTAAATAAGTGAAAAAAGACATAAACGTTTTGTTTTTTCTTTTTTTCATTTTTCCAATAATAAATTAAATAAAGAAAATAAAAATTATAAGAAATAATAAATGTATAATGGAAGAGGAGAACAAACAATATAATAGGGAAAAAAACAAAATGGAAACATTATTTATAGAAAAGTTTTCTTTCTATTTTTTTCTGTGTATAGCCTGCCTTTGTTTTGCTATTCCCACACTTTTAACTGGCGCGTAAAAAATTATAAAAAGGCTGCGATTTTATGAAATTTTTAAATTTTTTTCTTTATATTGGAAAATAAAAGAAATTTACCTACATTTTTTTTTATGTCTGTTTTGCTCTTTATTTAATTCACCATTGTTAGAATCAGAATGTGGTGAATAAAAGTTAAAATTTAAATAAATTAAAAAATAAAAAGAGATTTTCATATTATTATAATTTTATTATTATTATTTTACTTTAATGTTTTCTTATTTTATTATTACTGTTACTATACTGTTGTTGCTTTGTTATATATTACTTCATCTCTTTCAGGGAAAAGAGAAAAAAAATTATTTATTTACTTGTAGCAATTGAGGAAAAAAATAGTCATAAAAAAATAATGCTCATTATAAATTCATATTTTACGAAACTATATAAAGAGTTTGTCTACTCATAATATTAAAATAATAATGAAACGATGCCAAGTTTAGTAGATTAGAATTGCCATCCGATTGCATAATACTTCGGTTAAAAGAAGTTTATATTAACATGTTGCAAAAGATTTTCTTATAATTTATAGAAGAAGCTTAATTTAATTAGGGATTTTTTGAACCTGTATATTTGGACTATTTATATAATTACATTCTTGGTTAATTACATTCTTACATACTTGTTAAAATAAACTACAAAAGGAGTTTTTTAGCTATTTTGTTTGGACTTAAAAATACCAGCAATTTGAGGGATTTAAAAAAAAATCATTTTGGAAAATTAATTTTTTTTTGAATAATTTCGTGACAATCTTTAACCAACAAAAGTATTGTTAAGATTAAATGAAAATAATTTTTTTAAATAAAACATCATTATCTTGGTTTGGCAATATTACAGAAATTTAAGTAAAATAATAATGCAAAATTGCTGAAAAATAGCTGCTTAAACTAATTTTCATCAATAAAACTACAACAGTTAAAGCGAAACTATCAACCAACCCACAAAATTCATAAGATTTCCAGTTTTATTTAATTGAAAATTCTTCATGCAACGTGAAAATTATTGGAATATATTTTTTGATATTATTGGAATATAATTTTGCATTTTTGTTTTAGTTTTCCAAAATTTATGTAAAATTGCAACTGGATTAACATAATTTAAATTTAATTTGATATTAATAATGAAAAATTTTCATTCAGCTTTGATTTATCGTTATTGTTAGGTACACCCAGGACTTTATAGTCAATTGCAAACTTGATCAATTTAACATAAATTACACGTATTTAAACTGATTTTGCAAAATTTATATTTTTATAAAATTTGGGGTAATTGGTAAACCTAATAAAAAAAGTTTTTACAATATGAACTTGTATTATAGAAAAATGTTAACTAAAATTGTAACTTTATATTATGCGGTAACTGTTGGTGGTTAACTATAACTTGGTAAGCTTATTATAGCTACTTTGTACAATACCCTGCTTACGCATATATAAATATATCCTTTTGCAGTATACAAGAAATAATATACCCCAAAATAAAAACAAGAGAAACCACATTAAAGTTAGTGTTTCGACTTTAATGTTTCGTATAATGAACATTAAATATACTCTCATATACTTGTATTATTAAGTTAAATATATTACTTTGTATACTCTAATACTATACATACATATATGTATGAACTAGTAACTAGTATAAGTAACTAGAATAGCGATGCTGTTGCCTACTATAAATTGTAATTGTAGTTAAAAATACAGTAGAAAAAAAAGTGAACAAGGAAATGAGATTAAAGTAGAGAAAAAAAATTATTTTATTTAACTGCAATGGACAGTGAGCGTAAATAATTTCAATAACTTTCGCGTAGCGCAAAATAAAAACTTTTCCAACAAATCTAAAGTGATTTTTTTTCTTCCTTTGCGTTTTAGGGCTCGTCTCTCTTTGCATTTTTTTATTTTTGCTTCTTCTTATGTTTTTATTTTTTTGCTCTTCTCTTAAATATTGTAAATTAAATAAAAGTGAGATTCACTTTAACTATTTAACTTTTCATTGTATTTTAAATAAATTTTGTACATTTAAATTTATCTATGTTCTTAAATTTTATGAATTGCAATTTTGAGAACAAAAAAAATTGTTGTATATTTGAATTTTTTATTTAAAATTAGAAAAAATCAACAGAATTTTGTCTTAAATTTTCTATATAATTGCATAACTCCACTGAGCTTCAATATTTTCAAATAAACCTCTGAACTACCGCAAGAGTCGGCAAATATTGACAAAAATCTCATGTGAGTGCAAAATTTTAACATTTACCTATATATCCAATCTTTAGTTGAACTTAAAAGTGTCAATAGTCTGAGGGGTATAAATTTCAAAAATATACATTGTGTATATCAAAAGCTTTCTTCGAAGGTTTTCTTTGCCTTTTTGCCAAAAAAACTTCTAAAACAAAATTGCCCGTCCTATCATAGCTTCACCACTTTACTGAACTAATGCAAAAAACCCAAAATACACAAATTTACTAATCTCTCATGTATAGTTTTTATTGTTAACAAAATAATTAATTAAGAAAACGTGCAAATGCATAAATACTCGCATAAATCGCTCGCTTTCTTCTTATTACATTTTGTTTTTTCATTACACTTTTATCCTGGTCAAACTGAAATCAGCTTCAATAAATTTTTACCACAACTTAATATTTAAGCCATATAATACAAACTATGTACATTATTATATTTCTAATTCGGTCAACATACTATACATTTACATATTTTATCACTCAAACAAACCTCATTACATCTATCCTCTACTTAATTACACAAACTCATTTATTGATGGCGCATACGTATATCTTTAAAATATCGTGGTTTTCAGCCAATTATTTTCTTTTATTAAATATTACATTATATAATACATACTTTACAACATATTTTAAGAATAATTGAACATACTGTTAAATAATTCTAAAAAAAACTCATATTTCCTGAATAAAAATTCAATAGAATTAGATTAAAACCAAAACTTGGTGGCAATTCTAAAGTAAAGAACATTTTTGATATCGAGGAAAATATATTTAAATTTTCATGGTTTTGAAACCACAGAGGAAAGAAAAAATTAAATGTGGTTGTCATGTCACATAACGAATGTCATTTCATGTTATTTGGAAGCATATTAAAAAAAATTAATAAACGAAAAAACTATCGTAAATTAAAGCTATAAAATTAAAAAACATTAAAATTTTTTATTACAACTCAAAATAAAATTACTCTTTATATTTATAATTCTAAAAATTTAGATGGAGATTGGGAAATTAAAAACTCTTTTCAACACTTTTTTTCCAAATTTTCAAAATTTATTTGCAAAAAGTAATCGTAATCGCTGCTCTGTAAGTAGGTTTCATCATAAACTTACATAAATCTATTTAAATTGCGGAAGGAAAAATTTTCTATAGTTCTTGTTTAGGAACCACTTATCAAAAACTCGCTTAGATCATTAACGAACCCTAAAATTCCTTGTTCATATGTTCTTCAAAAATTAAATAGTTGGAAATTTCGCTTTAACGAGATTCAAAGTTCAAACATAAAATATCCTTAAATCGGGTTGCTAGACATTCAGATATTCCTAAAATGCCAGATTTATTCTTTATAAATTTGAAGTAGAAAAGTTCAATTAGAACCTTAATTGTACCCAGTTCCGGAAGTAAAAATAACATTTTTCAAATGTCGTTTCCATAATAAACCTTTTTCCGATCCCACAATAAACAAAGACCTTCTCTAAAGAATTAATTTACGTAAAATCTTTTTGCAATAGCAAAATGCATAATACATTGCTGTATGGACGTACAAATTCTTTTTTAAATAAATGATGGCAATGCACAAAAATTCGCACATATATGTACATAATCTTGTTCTTCAACCTTCACACATACACACAGAAGAAAGTTTATTGACAATTGGAAAAGTTGTAAAAAGTACCGTTTTAAATTTCATTTTATTTTCGTCCTCAAAATTTACATAACTAATTTTAATTTACAAACACAAAAGGAAATATTTTTTGTTTCTGTTTTCATTTTACCTATAGAATAATTTTGCACTATTCTTGTACATTTCTTTTCACTTTTTTTTCTTCTTTTCTTTTTTTTAGATAAAATTAGCTGGAGTTTGTGGTCTTGCATCATCACTTGTATGTGCATTGGTTACGGTTACAACTACAGTATTACATATGAGTCGGCTTCAAGCATTAAGTGAATGCGAATATTCAACAAAGGCAAAAACCTGCACATGTTATTCAGCACCACCAGAGCGTCCACATGAATCGGATAGAGGTTTGTTAAATTAAAAGAGAAAAAATATTAAATCAAACTGTTATATCATGTATTAGTATGTTAAACATAGATATTTTATAATATAACATATTAACATTACTATAAGAAAAATTCTATATCGACAGAGTGTTATTAAGGAAACAAGTAACTTGCAAATTATTAATTGTGAACAAGGATTGAAGAGTTGAACAAGGATTTGGAAATTTTTCAGATGTTTTTTCTCATTCTTCTTGGATTGTGGTAGAAGAACAAATTTATTTGATTTTTATGTTGCGGATAGGAACAAATTTGCATCAGGCATAATATATCTGGCATAAAACAATAAACGTCAATTTATACTTCCTATTTATGCCACCTTTTATGCCACGTTTTAATTTGGATTGAAATTTTATGAAAAGCGAGGCATTATAAAATCCATGCTATTAACAGGGGAATACTTAGGGTGTTTTGGTGTTTAATAACCTTAAAATGGAAGAAATAAAAACTTCTTTAAGTATTTATCCGAATGGTTGTATCTATTCTATTTCAGAAAAATAAATTACATATTTTAAAAATTTTATCACATCCGCTTCCAAAAAATTTACCCATACAACATTCTATTTTCATGAACGTCATCCAAATTGGCTATTTTGTGTTTTTGGCATTAGTAGGAGGCTCTTGGTGCGTTGCATTGACTTATACCCATAAATATAAATGTCAGTCCAAGAAGTAAAGATCAAAGCCAGTAACTTTTTCCTTCATTTCTATATCTCTTCAAGAACCTTATTACCCACTGACACTTCAAACATGATAGGCATCTCTCAGAAAATTTGAAATTTGCATTGGCTTTTTATCCTCTTCCTGAACCAACATTCAATAAGGTGTTGGACATGGTTTCTAAATCTGATGTCTTTTTTTCTAAACCTTCATTTAACTTAAAATTTTAATCAGTCAAATATGTCAAATATATGATATACCAATCTACATCATGAATCAAAATGAGACTACTGGAAGTCGAAATATTAAAATCTCGTCTCCAAATTTTGTCATTCTCTTATTATATTAAATTCTCTTATTATATTTGAAATTGAATTTCTGAAAAATTGAAAAATTGAAGCCTAATGGAATTTGAACTTATAATTTTTTTCAAGAAAATTCATAAAGTATGTATTGTGCAATAACCCAGTCGGTACCGTACAACTACTTACCTCGATCTTATAACAGTGCATTTATTTTCTTGGAGTTATCTAGAAGAATATTATCTCATCTTATTGGTCTAAGGCGACAACCATATTACAGTTGGCGACTTGCAAGACTACAACATGTCAAAAACAGATATATCTCACTTTGGTTCAGAAGTGATAAGAGGGATGTCAGCTAACTTTTCTGTCTCGACCATTAATTAGGCACTCCTTTCTGCCCTCACAACTATTACATTATGTAATATTCTGAAGTCATTTAGATATTTCTTTTAGATAGAAGCTCTAATTATTGATTTGTTAACAATTACTTCCCGAAAAGCAAGAATTTTATATTAAATTCTAAATAAACGTATTGAAGTTAGATTAAATTTTTATAAATATAGTCCCAATCACTTACTAGATGAATAAATGTTGCATAGTTAAAATTATTTGTGTATAACAATTTACATAATATAACAGTTTTAAATAAAGAAATTTTTTATTTTAACGTATATTTAATATTTTTATTCTCAATATTAACACATTTTTTTTTTCTTTTTTAATTTTGAAAAAAATCCACTCCTTCAATGGCAATCTTGATAAAAATGAAATTTCACCATCATCCAATCACCATATTTCTTCATCAATTGCTGCTAAAATGAATATTAACTTGGGAAAAATGTGTGTTATGCACACTTAATCTATATGTACCTCTCTTGGTGACTTCAATTTTACTTTAAATATTTAGAATCAGTTACATTTGTATTCGATTCAACATCTGATTGTGGTTTAGTACATGGTGCACTTTATTCATGTCTAAGAGCTATTTTTGGTCTTTCAGTTGCTGGTGTACTTGTGGCGGTTTTCAGTTGTATGCTGGTCTATCAACTTTTAACGTAAGTAACATTTCTTTATTTAAAACAATCGCATACATACATACATAAAAACTTTTCGAAAAAATGTGCATATGCACGTATCATATACATTTATGTATGCAATATGTGTGTATGTTTGTGAAAAATATGAAATAAATTTGTAAGTATGTAACACTTGAAAATCTTTGCATGCATTGCTCTACTCTAATTGCCTTCCAATTCCAGTTTTACAGTCGTTCTTTTAAGCGTATGCAAGTATGTGTATGCACACACATATATACAGTTATACTAACAAAATTTCTAAAAAGGGAAGGCATTAAAGAGTTTAAAAATGCATGTTTAGTATGAGAGGAAAAAAAATAAAACGAAATGAACACTGATTTTAAATTTTTCTCTTTAACTTTTCATATTGATGTTTTCTTTTTTGTTTTTTTATTTTTATGTACAAACGTGTGTTCTCTTCATGGATAATTTTGTGGAAACGAAAAAAATGCACTAAACATCCGTTTTGCAATATAACGGCAAAAAAAAATCCTTTTTCTTTTAAAATTTTTCAAAAATTAAAAACAAAAATCACAAATAAATTGCAGTCACGAACGAAAGAAAATGTATTGGGAACAATTGGAATTACGATGTCGTTCATTATATGAAAGTCAACATTTACCAACAACAATACCAACATTAAATGGCCCATCAATAATTGGTGGGCCACCAATAACAACAATTGGCACTTGTCGTTGTTGTGAACAATGTCATGCACATCGACAATCATCTAACATAACTGGTACAAACACAACATCAGCTGTATGGGATAATGCAAATAGATTTTGGGCAGCTGCAACATTTACAAGTACAAATGGTCAATTATTACCAACAGCCACGGGAAATTTTTATTCACCAAATCCTGGTAGTGATGAATTAAATATTAATGGGGGCGGTGGTGGTGGCTCTGGGGGAAATTGTAATATGAATAGTGGTATTTGTAGTGGAAATTTCGGTAATAACAGTAATTTAAATAATAATACGGGTAATCGTAATAATACTTCATCATCAATAACTGATAATAATTCTAACGGCAATCAAACAAATCGTTCAAATGGTTGGAGTTGGCCAAAAATGCCATGGAAAAAAAATCATTCGAATAATAATGGCACTAATAGCAATAACAATCAATTAAATCAAACAAATTCTGATCATAATTCAAGATCATTACATCAATCACCATCAAGTCCAGATTCACAATACGGCTTTACGCAAAATCCGAACACAGGCGGCATAATATCTTCTGTTGATGGTACAAATGTTTTAATGGGAACGAATGGTTTACCAAATCAACCAAATAGTTATAGTATCATCGGTGGTTTGCCATATGGTGTTTGGGGACCACCGCCACCATATAGTGATCCGAACAGTCCAGCTCGTAGACCACTCAATAGTACAATAAATAATATTAATAACCCATCAGCAGCAGCTTTACTTAATAGTAGTGGCCGTTATCAATATATTCATCAAAATCAATGCCCATCAATGCTAGAACATCAAATAAATCATCAACAGACAACACAACAGCAACAACAGTCAATTGTTAATTTAGAATGTCATCAACAAAGTAATAACAACGGTTCACCACTAGATACCAATTCAATTGTGGAACATTTTAATGGATCACCACAACAACAAAATCGTAGTATAATTAAACGTCAAACTGGTTTGAAATCAAAAGACAATTATGAGAATACTCAATCGGATAGTGATGGTTCTAGAGAAAGATTTACAAATTCTTTACCAGCTAGAAAAATGAAAAAACGTATAGAATCATCGACAAAAAATAATATTAATTCAAGTAGTAATAATAAATCTCAATCTAGAAATACACAAAATTGTTTTCAGCCAATTAGTCCTTCAGATATCGAAGAACCAGAATATCATGAACCCTTACATCCTGATGACGACGAAATTAATAGTTCACCCACAAATACCTTAACATCATCTTCAGGTGGTGGTAGCGGTAATGGCGGTGTTACTCATGGAAATTGTACAATTGCTAATAATGTTAATATTAATTCTACAAATAATCAAATAAATTCCATTCAACAACAACAGCAACAAAAAAGTACCAAAAGATTAAAATCTGGCATTGACAATACAGCATTTCAAAATAATGACAATATAGACAAAAACATCGTTCATCATATTGAACCGTCAACAGAATCCGAAGTTTATTTTGCTGACGTAAGTAGTTGCTATAATGTTTCGGTAAAAAATGATAGTAGTTATTATGACGATGCAAACCAAAAATTATGCAAAGATTCAAATCTACATGATCCAGCAAATGAAGATGTTGAAGAAGATTACTTAGCGCAGAGATTTGGACAACGTGAAAATTCAACACGTAGTAGGCTTCCATTTCCACAAAATTCAACAATTATTCATTCAAATATTACAAAAACCACAGATAATAATTTTGAATGTAAAAACCAATTAAATCTACCAATATTAAATTCAAGACAAAATACACAAATTTTACCAAAAGATATTTCTAGACAAAGTATGTGTTCAATTGATTCAGATGAAAATAAAACTGATTTTACTGATTTATCACCAGCAACACCATGTACAAATAATATTAACAATAATAATTTTATATCACAACAAGATCATATAAATAATTTTAATATCACAAATAATAATTCCGAATTAAACAATACAAATGATGCATTTATAGCATCTTATCCGTTCTCATCTAATGAACAGTGTCAGGAAGCACATCGACGTTCAACTAAAAATTTACATGATATGTTTTTAGCTCCTGATGCGCAATACGAAATAGTTAAAGACTCAAATCATTTTGATTCAAATACCCAATTAACTTTAGCTTTTGAAAATGATATAAATAGTAGTAATATAAATAAACTTAATAATAATCAAAACAATAATGTTAATAATAATAATAACAACAATAATATAAATAGCATTAATAGTAATGTTAATAATAATAATAATAACAATAATAACAATAACAATAAAATAACTAGTCATCAAATGAAATCTCCAAAAAATTTAAATTTAACTCCTATAAAAAGATCTAATATTGGTGCCAATATCACTAGTATTATACAAAATTTAGGTACCAGTGAATCTGGTCTATTATATCCAGAAAATCGTGTTAGTAATAGTAGTTGTAGTTCATCAATTCATGATAATTTTTCAGATCAAGAAAATCATAATGTTAAAATGATTAAATTACAAGGACATAATATAATAGGAAATAAACAACAACAGCAGCAACAACAGCAACAACACAACAGGCAACCCGTACCATTGTCAAATTCCGATAATGAATGGTCAGATAGTGATCGTAGATTGTGAGAAGAAATTTTTGTTTAATTTACCATTTTATTTTAATAAATTTTAGGTTATAATTTTTTATTTTAGAAAATTTAATTTATAATTTTTTATTCACATTTCTCTTATATGTATACAAAATGGGACTTTATAACGAAAATTATGAAGTTGTCAGTGTTAAATTTTTATGAATGTATTTTATTTGCTATCAAATATTTTCTTGCGTTTACCACAATTTCGCCCTATTTTTCGCGCCCATAAAATATTTACTCATAATCCATAACAATCGTCTTACAGTTGCTAAGTTGCTTGCATCTTTTTGCAAATTTTTAGAACAGTTTATATCTCTTGCCATATTATCAAAAATTCGTTCCTCACAATTTCTTTTTTCAATTAAACGTTATAAAAATTCACTTCTTTTCAAAATTAATACCATATAGACACTATCATTTCCTACACAAATTTTGAAATTCACGACACTCATTTTTTAGGCGCATCATCTTTTCAATTTAACTTAATCCAATTAAAATAGTATTGAAAAAAATTTGCAACTATAAATATATTTACAAAAAACCTCAATTGTTTTTTTATAAAAATTCAAAAAGTTTTTTAATAGGTATAAAGCTATTAAATAAAAGTTTTAAAAGAGAAATTTAGGAACAAATAATAAATACAATATGCATTTCAATAATTAATTCATTTAAATTTAATAAAAAATTAATAAATAAAAATTGTTATAATTGTACAAAAATAGTAGAATAAAATATAGAAAAAATAATTGTTTTAGTCCAGTAATACCGGAAATAGAAGAAGCCCACAAATTTGAGAAAGTGGCTGAAAATTATTAGGATAATAGATATTGAAAATTTTTACAATTGTCATCTTACAAACAATATTGCACGTGCTAGTTGCAACTGCGGCCTAAATTAAAAATAAATTTTTTAAACCAACTATGTACTAATTTGTTTTTTTAAAAAACTTTAGAACCTAAATCAAATTAAAATAGCATTATTTATTACAATCATTGGCATTCCTTTGAAGAATATTCTGAAATTTAAAACAATACCATCAGAATTATATTTTTAATAAGCAAAATAATTAAATTCGAATTAAATTTAATCTAACTGGTACAAAAATGATGAATCATTAATTAAATTCTTTTAAAATTTAATAAGTATTTAATATTACAAAATCACTAATGATATTTTTGCATCATTATAGCGAAAACGGTCAATAAAGTTATTCAATATTACTGCCAACATATTTATTTTTTATTTAGCGATATTAACCTCGTTGTACTTAGAACTTTATTACAAACTAATGGAAACAAAACTAAAAATTAAATGTGTTAAATTTCCGGAATCACTATTATTTAAATGACGTTAGTTTTTATATCATTTACAATGTAATGATTTTTAATTTTATTATTTTGTAAGATGGCAATGTCAATTTTCGATATTCTTATGCGAATTACTATTAAAAGAAATAATATAAAGTAGATAAATATAAGATAACAAATTGAATTTACTGAATTCGCTATTCATATCATAATAAGATCAATACAGAAATAGACAATACAAAACCTTCCATATTTATATTTTTAAATATTAAAAAAGCAAAAAAGACAAAATATACCTAATAGACAAAAATTAAAAAAAAAAAATAAATTTTATTCAATAAAGATTGCTAATGCATCTAAGTTTTTAAAATCCGCTCTTTTTTTTTTTAAATCAATTAATTTCTATTAACATTCAACCATATTACCTTAGTCGAATCATTCTGTTTAGTAGATTAATTTTGTTATCACTTCACATAAAATGTCCTTTTTCTTTTAGACACCTTTTATGAACTATCAATTTTAATGAAGGTAATAAAATGAAGAAGCCACATTTATTATTCTAGTAAATAATTGAGTATTACTTGCATGAAAGACAATTACACTAATGTAATTGTACTTATGCATATCTATAAAATTATAGTGAGCTATATTTCTCAACAGTAAATTTTTATAATACACAAGCTTTCTTTAAAATTTTGAAAATGTACTTAAGTTTCTGTTATGAAAGTAAACATAGAGCTTAATTTTAAATGAAATGAAATTTCTTTTACCGCTACTATCCCCTCAACGTCGTACAGAATAAAATAGGCATTTCAAGTAATACTTTATTATGATAAGTTCAGCAGAATATGGTTGATTTTATTATTAAAACTAATTATTTAAAAATAATTTAATATGCCAAATGTGACAATTTAAAGTTTTAAATGTAATTAAAAAAATTATTTTTTTTTAATCTTCCTGTTTACTTATTTCAAATACATTCCTATATCCAATTAGTAATAGAAAAACGTTCTATTTGTTTTAAACTTTTAGAAATATTTTAAAAAAATCTAATAAATTTTGAAATTTTCTGAATGATCTCAAAGTTTAATACGTAACGCATTTATACTTATCTGTTGTTAAAGAGATCTTTAAATCAAACCTTTAGTAAAAAAAATTAAAAAAAATATTAAACACTGAAGGGAAGAATTTTAGTGTTCATTAAACTTATTACTGATGTGCTTGCGTCACGTAAAATTAAGTAATATAAAAATACGCTATTCAAGAAACTATTCAAATTAATTAAATAAAATTCAATAATTAATATTTTCATTACAATGTCTCTGTTAATTAATTACTAAATTTTTAGCAAAATATTGTAATGAAAACCTGTTTTCGAAAATTTTTCAAATTCAATTAAAATTTGAAATAAAATTTATTAAGAAAGCTTTTCGCTACAAAATTTAAATTTGCAAAACTAAAATTGTCACATGTCCTCTTACACGAAATTCATTAACGAGTTTTGCTATTAATATATTTAATATTAATGAATTTGACTTTATAATTATTGTTCATAATCATTCTTTAAAATAAAAATATTTTTATTCTATAATAATAACATGTTATGAATTATGAACAATAAAATGAAAATAATTACTATAATAAATATAATTATTTTTTCAATTTTAGATTACAATAATTAGAATAAAATAAAATATTTAATTTTTAATTAACATTATACAAATTATTATTTTTGTTGTTGTACAGTCATAATTTAAATTTTAAATAATTTTAGTTAAAAATTTCATACAATAAATTGTAAAAATATTCAAATATTTAGAAATAAAGAAAAATTAATTATAAATAATTCATAATTTTTCTCTTTCCATATAATTTCTATTAAAAAAATTGTATTAAAAATAAAAATTAAAAAAAAAATAATTAAAATAATATTAGTGTTAATAATTAAAGTTAAAAAAAAATAAAGAAAATTTTTTAGACTTTTTTTTATATAAGAATTGAAATACATAATTGTTATCTTAAAACATAAATTATAAATTATTAAAAATATATATATGTAAATATATGTACATATAAATATATACATATAAATACATTTTTAACATCAAAACACGAATGCATATATAATTATATAACATACAAGAAAGAAAATTAAAAAATGAAATAATAAAAATATCATTATATTAATAAATTAACAGTTAATATTTGTTTTTATTTAATAAAAGACTCTAAAAACATCTGGAGATTAAAGAGTAGAAGCGTTAAAAGGTGCTATAAAGTATAAACCTACACAAAATTGTTAAAGAGCATATTCAAATCATTTACAACTAATTGATGTACCAAAACGTTTACCTCAAAAAGTGTTTAATGCTATATGACCCTGTTTGTATTACTAGGCTCTTTTAGACTGAAACCATAAACTGAAAGTAAGTGAGCGCTTGACACAATTAGAATAAGAGAAGATATCTTCAGAATATGTGATAAATTCCCTATGAAAAAAATCCCTATGCCAAAAAATAAAAAAATCTGTCACATACGCAACCAATACTGCACAACAAAATAAAGTTACATATATATTTTAGTAAAATTCTATACAAAATTTATTTACTTAAAATGGCGACATTGAATTTGGAAATTAATTTTTTTTCCAGAACCAATTGTAAAATCCTCTTTAGAAGGTATTGAAACCAAGAATTTAATAAATTTATCTACAAAAAAGAGAAGAATTTTTTAGTGTCGTAACTTTTTCAATTTAAAAAAACTTTTGAGTTTTCTGTAAACAACAAAATTTTAGGATCACTTTCGGGAATAATATTGCTCTATGATTTTCAAATAATTTTTAAAAATAATTGGTTTTATCGAAAATGACCTAAACATAACTTCAATAATGGTACTTATAGCTCTACAATATTAAGAAAAAAATTAGCATTTTGATTAATTTTTATAAAATTTCATAAGAAAATTTTTGGAATAATTTTTCTTCAATATTCAATAAACTGTCCATAGAAACCATAATTATTATCAAAACTTTGAATAGAAACACAAGATTTTTTTCTTAGACAAAAATATAAAAATTTATTAATTTGAAAACTTCTAAATTAAAAGTAAAAGGAAAATTAAATATTTTTCTTAAATCTCAAACTTATTGTCTATTACTTTTTACTTAAACCAAAATCGTATTATTGAAATTACAATTTCTTGTTTAAATTTTTAATTTTTGTCATACAAAAAAAAAAAACTTTCTATTCTCACAGCATTCTTAATTTTAAAAATAATTTTTGTTCTCTGTTGTTTGGGTTTTCTGTTCTTCTTATATCAAACAAATTGATGATGCATCCTTAAAATTACAGTTTTTTCTTCTTTAATTACACAATTGTAAAACTAAATACATATAGATTATATATTTGTATTTATTACATATAAAAGATAAGTAAACATAATGAAAACTAAAAATTATTCTCTTTTTACATCTATACATATACATTGTAGGTACATTTAACTTAATATCATGAAGTGTTTTTGCTTCTAAGATGCTCTTAAATAGAATGTGACAAAAAAACTAAGTGATATACCAATTAAATAAACCTTAAAGCTATTAAATGATTTAATTCCATTATTTTGTTCTGAATCCTGTGTATTTTCACCATGAGGTATTTCATTCTCTTTTTCTCTATTACGTATTTCATTCTCTTGTTCAATTTCATCTAATGCTAATACAATACCTTCATTAACTGTCCTTAATAATGGATAATTGGTATTTATTCTTTTTGGATAGTTTAATTTAACACCAGGCATATCACCATAATCACTATATGTATCATCTTCAATATCACATTCACCCAAAAAATCATCAGTATCAATTGACCATATCATAGCACCAGCTAATTCTTTTTTCATTGCAAATTTCATTTTATTAGCAATTGAACGTGTACTATCGTATGTAACAACCAATGTATTATCCATTTCTTCATCTTTGAAACGTGCAATAGATTGTGCTGTAGGTGCATCCCATTCTCTTTTCCATCCAGAAGTTTTATTTGATAGCATTGAACAAATTTCATTATAACCTAAAAATCCATTTTCTTTTGTATAAGGTCCTTGAAAACCAACATCATCGGCAGCATCACCATAATATCCATCGAATTGTGTTTTAAATGTTCTCCCATAGAATGGTAATCCCATAACAATTTTTGATGGCGATGCACCCAATTTAATTAAATATTCGATAGTAAACATCTAAAAATAGAAGAAAACAAAATAGAATCGCCATATAATAGTAGCTAGTGTAAGAGTAAGAGTATACAGATTTTTAGATTAGAGAACATTAAAGGAGTTTTTATTTTTTGAAAGATAAAGTTGTTTTGTCTTTTTTAAAATGAACAAGTACAGTAAACATTTTGACAATTGCCTTTATTTCTATTTTGTATTCTGTATAATATAAAGACAAACTAATTATTGTAAAGAACGTAATTCAAATTTATGAATTTTAATTTAGCCGATTAAATTTAGTATAATCATTTATAGTAGACTTACTCATTTAAGGATAAAAATTCAATTTGCATATAGGAAAATTTAAAATTCGATTATTTTTAATTTCCGATTTGATTTTTCGTGCTTAATGAATCATATTCGAATAATGGAAATGATCATTGTATGGATAATTATGCAGAATTGTAAGAATATAATTTGTGCTTCTTTACTTGTATTTGTCTAGCATTTAGTTTATTATTTTATAAAAAATTCACAGTTTGAACGTAAAATCAAAATACTTAGTTCTGCATCATCAAGTAAAGTAGGAGAATTTAATTCTTTATTTTATTCTTTATTTATTTTGAAGGTTATCAGTCAGTCTTTTCAATATATATGCATGATATCCAATCTACTCTTTTTAATTTTAGATCTAAAATTATATAAATATACGTTCGGCAAAAATAATTTTCAAAATTTATTTTATAAATACTTTGGATATGAGAAAATCACAAATATGGGAAATATAAAATAACAATTTGAGGTCAGAAATATGCAAAGAGACTACAAAATACCAACAATAATTAATAAAAGAATACTTACAACATTTAGTGGTCCATCACCGGCTAATGGTGCATTTGCTCCAACTTTTCTATCCCAACTACCACCATAATCATAACACATAATATGCATAAAATCTAATAATTTTGATAAGGTACGAACATCATAAGCTTGATCAATAACAGTTTTTGATGCACCAATAGCTGATGTTAATATTAAATTATGTTTATTAAATTCAGAACGTAATTCTTTGACCAGCGCAACAAAATTTTCCCTATCTTCAGGTTCACCTTGTCTCTGTGTCGGATATTCCCAATCTAAATCTAATCCATCAAAATTATATTGCCTTATGTATTCTGATACTTGCTTAACAAAACGTTGACGTCTTGCTGGATCTGATGCTAACATTGAATAATTTTTAGAACCTTCATTCCAACCACCGATTGCCAATGTAACTTTTAAATGTGGATGAATTTTTTTTAATTTATTAATTCTTTCAAAACCACCTTTTCCATAATTATCTTTCAGATCTTGCCAAGGATCTAAAATGAAAAAAAACAAAAGAATTTTTTTTAATAATTTTATAATTTATATTTGAAAAAATTATTTTTTTTTAATAAATGATGCATGCATCATCACTTCTCAAAGAGGCCACGAACATTTACATAATTCCTTTCCAATATGTTATTAAATTTAATTAGAAATCACATGTAAATGTACTTAAAATTTTAATGAGCATAAATTTATTTACATCTATACAGAATTTTTCTAATTATTCAAAGAATTTTTGCGTTTGCAAAAAAAGTAATGAATAAAACTTATCCATTAAAAAATTCTACACCATTGCTTTCAAAGATTCATTTCAAAAAAAAAAAATTAGGATTTTATTAGTTATCCTCTTGGATAATTCTAAAAAAAATAAAGGCTTTTTACTTGCAATATTACATACATACTTATTATGTGAACATCATACATTTTTATCCTTAATAATCAGTATTAATTAATTTCAACATTCATTGAAATGAGAACATTCATATGAACGCATATACACACTTAATTGGTTTCCATTCAGAAGGGGTCATAAAACTATAGATGCAATAATTAAATGTGAAGTCATCTATGTACATTATATAGAAGGTACAAAATTTATCTAGGTATAGAAGAACATTAATTTTTGTATATATAGGAATTGATAGAAGATAAATACTATAAGTAATAAAGACATAAGAAAATTATACTTGTTCTATACAGTCTACACTAAATTACTATATGTATACATAAATATGCATTTAAATATAGCTATATATTTTCTAATTATTATGTTTTATTATTGAATGAAAAGGTAAATTATAAACATGGTAACTATATATAGGAAAACATATATATACTTATATTATATAATAACTATAAAATCTAAGCCAAAAGGATGTAATTTTTAGGATCATTCTAAACATACGTGTTATATACCTTAATAGTCTATTATATATAGTAAATGAAAATCTACTATGTCAGTTTCTTACATTAAGCTCTTTTTATGCATAATAAAGAATATATAATATTAAAGCAATATTTTTAATATATGTGTTTGTACATAATTGATTTTCAGATTCATGAGTTAATGTGCCACATATCATAATTTTAAATTCCTAAATAATTATTGACCTAGAAAAATAGCATCAATAAACATTTTACAAATAGTGTTGAAAACATAGTCTGTATATAGACATATATACATTTATAATGTTATATCCATATCGTTATATGCATATCCCAATAAAAAAAGTTAAAGTGAAAATGCTTACTAGAAAAATTTTATTAAAATTCTTTGAACTTTTCTTGAATAATGTTAGAAAAGAATATTTATTTTAGGAAATTAATCTAGAAGCAACTACTGAAAATAATTTTAAATAAAAGAATTCTCCTTATTGAAATCATCAAAAAATATACTCAAATTCTATAGAGTTAAATGTAATATTCAAGTTTTACCTTACACGACACGCACTAAAAAACCAATTGTATAAAGAGTTTTATTAAAAATATTTGCCTGCGGTAAACCAAAGTCAAATTAGGGACTTACTTTTTTGCTTTAATATTGTTATAATTGCTTTCGGCAAATATTGAATTTCTAGATCGTCATTTATTTTTATTAATAATCTGTATGTAAATAAAATATTATTTCCTACATATACATAATTTCCTTGATGCTGTTCTTCCTCATTTTACTTCTTTAGAATAGTGTTAAAGAACTTAGTAAATTATTGAACAATTTCAAATAATTAGAATAATTTTAGACCATACTTCTATTGTTACTTAAAGAGCACATTTCTCTTAAGTGGTATTAATTAAGTAATGTTTTTTTATTGAATATTTTTCACTTAACGTTGTTTTCTCTATTTGCATACGGTAGAACAAAAATTAAAAAAGAAAAATATTAACGTAATGACAACTGATACAGTATGACATTAGTTTAGTTAGAATATACGGGGAATTTGATTTCTAAATGAATTACTGTATGTATATCTTTGCATAGACCCTAATGAGTGTATAAGTAAAACTTTTGCATGAAGAAAATATGAAAGCATAAAAGTAACGTGAATCAAAAGTTAACATTTTTTAAAAATAAAAAGATGTAAACTTATATTTTTCGGAACCTAAAATGATTATAAATATTGTAGATATTCTTGTGAAAGCTCTTACGATCCCTGAAATTTCCAAAACCATATTAAATAGTGACATAGACATACAGATTAACTTAAAGTTTCTATGACTTTGATATGTTTTATGATAAGAAGACATTTACCATAATATTTTTCTGCCTGTGCAGTAAATTTTTATGATATAAATCACCATGGCAAAAATTTTAAAAATTAAAAACATATTAACAGTATTTAGATTCAAATAATGATTAATTTAGGCGGTCATTTTGCGGATATTTCCCTATCCTTTTTTACAGTAAAAGAAGCAAGTCGCTATCTTTCTTGTGATAAGTCTTTTTTAGACTTGTTCCAATATATCAAGTTGTCAAAACATGGGCTGCTTTATATTTTGGGTGACTGTAACTTGGTGGACAAAGGTAATTTTTTTTTGTACAGAAACAGATTTCTCGTGAATCAATTCATTCTTTCTATCTTAAAAATATAGTAAAACGTGTATAAGCAGATGAATATAGCTGGAGGGACAAATGGAAATTGTAAAACGAATTTTAGCATATTTCTATCCAATTTTGCTAGAGAAATTGTCATCTTGTATAATATTTAAATTGAATATATTTACAAAAACTTTAAAGCTTTATTAACTAATTAGTATTTGGTTTTTTAATAATCTTTTGGAATTCACTTTCTTAAATTTTGCAAAATTTTAATCCTCTTAATGAATCAAAATATTATTTTAACATTTATTGCTATATAAACAAATACAGAAAACAACATAAAAGGTTCATCATATTGTATGTATGTATGTATGTTTATCGTACATGTAAATTATTTTGATTCATTAAAATAAATTTAAAGTTCTAAAATAATAATGATAAATTTAATATTGTAATAATGTCAATAATTATTATAAATCCTATTAAGAATTCATACTTGCCCATATATATAAAAGTATATAGATGCACAGGTTTATACGTATATAATGTAATAATAATTATTACAATTATTTATGAAACGATTTCAATTTACTATTTTATATTATAATTATTATATACCGACTTCACGCAAACATATTAAAATTATTTTGATGCATTTAATTTTGTCTATACTAAGATATGTAAATATTTACATAAATCAACATTCAAATAATAATAATAATTATAGCTCAGATATTGCAAACATTTAAGTTCACCTTATACACATTAATTAATATGTATGTAAATAATAATTATTATTATATAAATATTATCTATAAACCCTATATTACTTAATACAAACAAAATTAGGCTCATTTATTATAATTTAAAATAAAATTTCTAAACTTATACCGAATTACGGTTATATTGTATAAAATAGTACGTAGATCTTTAATATACAACATGACACATACACGTACCATGTTGGCTACGTAATTTTCCTAAAGCAGTTTGAATAAAATCAATTTCAATATACTATTTGTTTGAAATTATTCAAGAAAGAGTAAAACATTATCATAAATACTTGAAATTCTTGAATCGTTGCTACAGCAAGTAGAATTAAAGAATATTTCTCGAAATAAATTCGTATCAGACCTATCTACTAGTTGTTTAAATTACTTTCATTAAAAATCTGAAATATTTCAAATTATTGCATAAATTTAAGATGAGAAAAAAAACAAATTGAAATAAGCATTAAAATAATATTCGAATTTGAAGGTTGAATGATAAATAATTATGTTAAAATTATTAAACTGTAAAATAATTATTGTAAAATTATTAAACTGGAATTGCAGTTGCGGAAATAACAGGGGCCAAGAATTTAAACAGGGAATAGCTTGGGTGGAAATGGGGATGAAAAAATATTCTAATGAAATAACTTATTTACTATTGTCTATTTAACTTCTACAACTTACGATCTAAAAGAAAAATTTTATCAAAACTTGAAAATAACCGGGTTTTAGATAATAACGTAGTTAATTTAAACAGGAATTTCATCTTTTCAATGTTCAACAATTCTATTCCGCGGCAGAAGTAGCATGTCACCACCTTTCAGATGTTGCGGCATTCAAAATATGTTTGTGATTTTGTGACAATAAATAGTAAATATAGTAGTTTATTAAAATTCAGAGCTGCAAAAAAGTGCGTTTAACAACTCAATCTGAAAATTTACAAAAATCTAGAAAAACTCCACCACTAATTTATCAATTTTGTGTAAAATATCTTATGTTTCAAAGTATCTGTATGTTTATGGTAAACCATATAATATAATAGAAAAGATAAATATAAATTAGTCCCAGTCAACTTCTACAAAACTTTCTTAGAAATCAATGCACAGATCAACGTATGAGTTTTTACATACTATATTACAGTGTAAACGCTACATTTTAAATTATTGTACTATGAATTCTTACATTGATAAAGAGAAAATAATTTCTTAAATTAAAATTCTAAATGATAAGAACGTTTTCACGTAGATTATATTTAATTATTCTCAAGATAAATAAATACTTTAAAGAATATTATTACTTTACATACGAGCATATCAAAATGATAATAAAATTGAAGACATTAAAAAAATTAAGCAATTCATTTTCATCTTAAAATAATTATTTGTACAAATGAATTTATCTAAGTCTTTAAAAAATGCATTTCAAATAACACCCTCATCCTGCTTCATAGTATCTTGTTATTATTTCTATATAAAGAATATTATATGCAATATAGGTAGGTATATGACTGTTATAAATAAGAAAATTTAAACTAGTTCAACAACAATTCTATTTTCTTTATTTTTTAATTTTCTTAAATTCTGATATTCATTAAAGATTTTAATAAAATATTACTATATAGATATATAAACGGGATTGCATATGGAATACATGTATATATATATATCTGTACCTCATTAATATA